GTATTGATTACTATTTTAAGAGTAATATTTCTATATAGCTCTACAATTGACGTATTGAGTTCTATTTGAACAGTGGTATTTCTATATCACACTACAATTGGTGTATTGATTACTATTTTAAGAGTAATATTTCTATATAGCTCTACAACTGATGTATTGAGAACTATTTCAACAATGGTATTTCTATATCGCTCTATAATTTATGTATTGAGCACTATTTTAACAGTAGTATTTATATATCACTCTTCAATTGATGTATTGAGCACTATTTTAACAGTGGTATTTCTATATCACTCGACAATTGATGTATTGAACACTATTTTAACAGTAATATTTCTATATCACTCTACAATTGATGTATTGAGCTCCATTTTAACAGTGGTATTTCTATATCAGTCCACAATTGATGTATTGAGCATTATTTTAACAGTGGTATTTCTATATCACTCTACAATTGATGTATTGAGAACTATTTTAACAGTGATATTTCTATATCACTCTACAATTGATGTATTGAGGACTATTTTAACAGTGTTATGTCTATATCGCTCTATAATTGATGTATTGAGCTCTATTTTAACAGTGGTATTTCTATATCTCTCTACAATTGATGTATTGATTACTATTTTAACAGCTGTGTTTCTATATTGCTCTACAATTGATGTATTGAGCACTAGTTTAACAGTGGTATTTCTATATCACTCTACAATTGATGTATTGAGCACTATTTTAACAGTGTTATTTCTATATCGCTCTATAATTGATGTATTGAGTACTATTTTAACAGTGGTATTTCTATATCACTCTACAATTGATGTATTGAGTACTATTTTAACAGTGGTATTTCTATATCACTCTACAATTGATGTATTGAGTACTATTTTAACAGTGGTATTTCTATATCACTCTACAATTGATGTATTGAGCACTATTTTAACAGTGTTATTTCTATATCGCTCTATAATTGATGTATTGAGTACTATTTTAACAGTGGTATTTCTATATCACTCTACAATTGATGTATTGAGTACTATTTCAACAGTGGTATTTCTATATCACTCTACAATTGATGTATTGAGCATTATTTTAACAGTGTTATTTCTATATCACTCTACAATTGATGTATTGAGTACTTTTTAACAGTGGTATTTCTATATCACTCTACAATTGATGTATTGAGCACTATTTTAACAGTGTTATTTCTATATCGCTCTATAATTGATGTATTGAGTACTATTTTAACAGTGGTATTTCTATATCGCTCTATAATTGATGTATTGGGAACTATTTTAACAGTGATATTTCTATATCGCTCTACAAATGATACATTCAGAATGCACACAAAATATTATTTTGTCTCGTTATTTAAATAAAGCCTGAGTTAGATTCTGAATATGATGCAAAATGTTTCCAGCAAAAGTGCACATTAATTATGTCTTTGATGTTGTTTTCACGATTAAACTCTACGATAGATGGATGGGGGAATATTTTCTTTTTTCCTTTCGATTGATGTACAATCTTCAATGTTGTTCTGAGAATGGAATTAATATAAGGAAAGGAACATAAATAATTACTAAAGGTGAACAACAGTTTTCTTTTCTTTCTTTTGTATTTCAAAACATCGTCTCGGTTTAACATGTCAACGTTTTTCAATCGATCTTCAATTGATGATTTTATTATATCTTAGCTTTTAAAACTTGTTTGATTTGGTTTAAATTTTATGCCCATTTTATCTTTTTAAAGCATGTATCTAGAAGTTTCATTTCTTTGTTTGTCAATTTGAAAGGTAGAATGTAGAAGTATGCATGTGAACTCAACTGTTTACAGATTTATTACATGTTCAAGGGATTGTAAAATTGTTTTTCTCACTTATAATGTGTATCGGGGACAATCCAAATTGTCAATCAGAGGCCTGTGGTTTCATTACACTTATCCCAAATATGCTTTATCACCCGAGTCCCTTTTGCTATTGT